CCACCAAGCTAGGCAGGAAGACCATGTGGGCTAGGTGCCCCAGCCGGAGCCCTGGGGAAGAGGGCTGAGCGAGGCACCAGGAGAAGCCTTGTCTCCCATTGTGGTGGGGGGAGAGAAAGAAGAAGGTGTCCAGTGCCCCAGAGAGCTGCCTCAGCCTCCAATCCCGCAGGGCAGGTAGCCCACTAAATGTAGGCTTTGCAGTGAGACAAGGGAGTTTTAATCTGGGATCTAACACCCCAAGTATGGCCTGAGCAAGTTAATTAAACTCTGCTTGGGTTTTCTTATCTATAAAATGGTGGTCGTAACATTAAGTTCACAAGATCTTCAAAAGAAATGAGGAACAATGAATCTGAAAAGCACACAGTAGGAATTCAATAAAAAGTAATTTTAATGCTTTGTTCTGAAACCCCTCTCCTACATGCACTTTTTACCCACTCAGCCAGGCAGCTCTTCCCCAAACTGATTGGAACAGGCCATCCTTTGCCCCAGGCCATCCTTTGCCCCAGGCCTCCATGTCTTCCAGGGACAGGGCTGCTTTAGAAGATGACCACCCTGGGATTCTCCCCAGGGCCCCACTCAGTGCTCCACCCCTCGCCGCTGTAAGATCTGCGCCTCGTACTTCACGGCCCTTCAAGACTGTGTTCAATATCAGAAGCGAACACAAGGTGGCAAAATTTTGTATTTGCCAAGTCCTTTTAAAAAAAAAGTCACAAGTACCACCATATCAACAAAGGAAAACCATTCAACATCCACAAATGTAGACAGAATCTCACAATAGAGGATTATTTAAAAAATGTGAATGAGTTTACCTTCCTGAGACACACTCCCCTTCCCTCCTAGATCCTGTTCCCCTGGAGCAGGAATGGCCCTGACATAGCCCAGGACCAGTCTACGGGCTTTGGAATTCCTGGCAAAGGGAAGGGTGTAGGCTGTGAGGCCAGTCGATTCCTGCAACTACCACCAGGATACGTTACCTGTCTAAACCTCAATTTTTCTCATCCATGAAATGGGGATAATTACAGAACCGATCTAGGGCGTCCTTGTCGGGGTCAAAGTAGATAATGGGTATCAAGTAGTTAGCAAAAGAGTTCAATACATGAACTGTATTATTTCCAGACTCTGAAATGCTGCCACCTCAGGGCTAGTGTCCCTGTTCATTTCTCACACGAGCCTTGGTCCCTTCTCCTTAGAATGCCAGCTGCATCTGCTTTGCTCTCTCCTTCCCCGGAGCGAGCTAAGTCCCTTCCCCAGGGCTTGGCAGAGGTCTCCACCAGGCAGGGCGGGTCAGTTTCCCCCCTGGGTCTGCCACAAGCCAGTCCTCTCCAGGAGAGACACGAAGAGGAGGTGCCCAAGCCCAGGACCAAGAATCTGGCCAGCTGGAGCGAGAAAACAAAAAAGGGAGGCATAGAGAGGAGCTGGAAAGGAGGCGCCAACAACTCAGCTGCCTATCCATTTATGTCCAGCCACGAAGTCGTAACACCAGCATACCGAGCACTCCTCCCTGCGCCGGACGCTGTTCTGTGCGCTTTACACGGCTGATGTAGTTAACGGCCATTGCAACCCTCTGAGGTGTTATTTCTACCCTTACATTCACGATGAGGAAACTGAGGCACAGAGAAGGCCCGTACCTGTGCAGGCCGACAGGATTACCGAGTGGCCAGTGGGGGCTTAACCGGGGAGCTGGACCTGAGTCTGTGACGTAATCACCATTTAATACTGCTTCCAACATGGTAGCACTCTCATCAAATCAATCAACTGATCAAGGGTAGGAGGGCGCTTACTGTGTGCGCAGCACTGTGTCAGAAACGGAAAGGATGAAGAGAAATTAAGACTTGGTCCCCAAGGGTATAAAGAGGGACTAGCATCAGAGCAGGTAGTTCTCAAGTCACGGGGGTGAGAACCGGAGGCCGGGGCCTGGGCTGCTGCTCCCCGCCCCACCAGGGAACAACGGGCACAGAAAGGCCAGTAACCAGGCAGCCATGGTAACCGGCAGAAGGTGGGAAGGCCTAGGGGCCTCCCCCTCCTCCTGTCTGGGGTTCTCTGGGGTCCAGGTCTGCGGCCAGGAGTAAAGCCAGGCAGTGAGTACAGGGTTCATGCCCCCCCTTTGGGTCTAAGTGTATGGAAGAGAGAGTCCAATCAAGGTCAAGGAGGGGGACCTGGGATCCTGATTTCTGCCCCGTCTCCCCCTGCCTCTTCCCCAACCTCAAGGCCTGCTCTGGGCCAGGGGGACAAAAGTGGGACATTCAAAGTCAGTGTGTAGCACAGGGAGGGGAGAGCAGATCTCCCACTACTCTTCTTTCCAGCCTCATGGTCTCTGCCAGGATGGAGCTGTACGCAGGCAGCTGAATACTGGGAATTTAGGAGGCCCTCGGGCCTCTTCTCCTTACTCCTCGCCCTCCTGCCAAGCGGTGGCGGGGTTGCCCAAGGGACCTCGGAGGGCTGGAGGGGCAGATTTTTCTCCTACTCCCACCTCCATCCCCCACTGGAGGCAGCTCCCGCCCCGAGCTGCCCTGTCATCCCACATTGCTCTGATTAGCTATAATCTTTCTTTTTCAATTTCTCCTCCCTGAGACCGGGGAGCGAGAAAATCTCCCAGAAAATGAATAAATATTTCAATTTTCGGCGCAATCAGTCTGAGGAGCCAGCGCATGATGGAAACGGGGGGAAGGATAATGGTTTTCATTTAGATAAGATACAGAAAATTATTTAGTGAAAAATGAAGATTGATGAAGCCCATTGAAATTCTTTAAAATGCGATTTTTATTTCTCTGTCTAGGCTGAATCTCGCCTTCCCCTCTCCCCTCAATGCAACCGCCTGCCCTCCCCCCCTCTCCCCATTTCCTCACCACCATGGCAATGCCCAGATCCTCTCCCACCATCCCAGTCCCTAACCCGCAACTCCTTCTTCTAAGGATGGAAGCTAGGAGAGGAGGTCCCCTGGCCTTGAGCGCCCCAGTCTCCGGGGACCCTATTCCTTCCCCCACTACTCCCACCCCAGTCCTGGCTCAGCTTCCCTGGAACCCTCGGTGGGATTCCCTCTCCCCTCCAGTCTTTTCTCGCCCTTCCTTCTCCTTTGTATCCCCTCCCCCAAACCCAAATACTTTTGCACACTTTGCTCAGGTCTGGCTTTCACCCCCTACCCCCACCCCATTGGAGGCAGGGCCCTGGGAGCTCAGCTAACCCCCAGCCCCTCCCCCCTTTCCAAAAGGAGAAATGCACACAACACACTTCTCTCTTTCTGACCGTTTCTGTCCCCGATTCAATCCACATGTCTCTCCTGTTCGCTAACTGCAGCTTTTGTTCCTTGAAGCTCATTTTGTCCCATGGTGTTGACACGTTAGGGCTGCAGGAAAGGGGCAGACGTAAGCCTGCCCCTACTACATACCACCACTGACCCGCTGCCCTCCTACCCCCACCACCTTTCCCCCTCTTGAGCAGCCTGGCCCAACAGTCAGAACTTAAGTCATCTCCCTAACTTTTTGCCAAGCGGCTGGCTTGGCCTGCCAACCGCAGCACCGCTTCCCACCTGACACACACCAGTGTGTGCACCCTTCCCAGATCTTAGGTGTGTGTTGGTGGGGGATGGGTTCCATTTTGGGAAAAGATGGACCAAGACCAGCCCCCACCAACTCTGTCCAGTTTTGCCTTGGAAGCAAGGGAAGGGATTGGTTAGGAGGGGAGGGGTCCAGCATAACACCGCATCCCTAAACACACCCCCACCAGCCCAAGAAGGAAACAGAACAGGGCAACCCCTAAGGGTGTTCTATCCAAACTGACTTCCTTCTTGCCAGATGCCCTCCACCCCAAAGAGACCACCACCTCCTCCATTTTGTCGTCTGTACATCTCCCTAGGTGTCTGAATGTCTGTTCAAGTTTCTTTGTTCGCTGGAGGGTTGGTATTTGTCGACGGGTTTCAGAGTGCGTGTGTGTGTGCATGTGTGTGTGCGGTGTCCTTGTGGATGTCCGCCTGCATACATGCTCCTGTGACTGTGAGTTTGGCTGTGTGTGCGTGCATGAACGTGCAAGCCGAACGGGGGAGGAATGTGTCCTCCTCAGATGTGTCAGCGTCTTTGTGTATATATGTCTGTCTGGGTTTGGGGGATGCTTGTGGGTATGTCTGTCTCTGTAGGTGAGCCGTCTGTCTCAGAGTCTGGGACTATTTTCGGGTTTGTGTGTCAATTTCCGTGTCAGCTCCGCTGGGGGGGAGGGGAGCTAGCTCAGCGGGGTTAAATCTTCCTTAGAGTCAGAGCCGGGAGGCGGGAACCCACTCCCACAGACCCCAGTCTCGGCCGGAGTCCGAGCCCAGGCCTCCAGGGTCCCCTTCCCTCCCCGGCCGCAGCCCTGCCTCAGGACACAGCAACAGCCTCATCCCAGCCTCTCCCCTGCCAGTTCCAAGTAAGCTGCCCACAGCAGCCCCTTCCCGACCCAGGTGGGGTGTTAGCCCGCCGGCGCTCCCCTCCACGTCCCGCCCGCCGGCGGCTGCCTTCGGAACTCCACGCCCCGCCGGGCCTTGGCGGGCAGGGGCTCTGAGTCCGCACTGGGGCCCCGCGACACCCCTCCCTTCCGGCGGGGGCAGCCCCAGGGTGTGGGGGCCTCGGCTCGGACTCGGCGCACGAGCGGCGGGGCTGCAGGGAGGAGGTTCTCGGCGACACCCTCGGGAGCCGGGTCCCCAGCTTTCCGCGCGCACCTCCCGCCCCCAAATCTGAACTCGCAGCCTGCTCCCGGGCGTCCCGGCTCCCGGGCTCGGAAGGCGGAGGGAGGACGCGCTGCCGGCGGCTCCGCGGAGGACTTGGAGCGCTCGGGCCCCCGTTCTCCCCGGCACCCCCCCGCACCCAGTTCTCCGGTCTCCCGCGCAGCCGAGGAAACAACTTGGGCAACGGAAACCAGCCACGGAGAACTCATCCCCGCCGGCCCGTCCCTGCGCGCCCCTCCGCGCGCCGCGCCGGCCCCCGCCCGCCTCGGGGCGCCCCCGCGCTGCCTGGCCCGACGCGGGGCCTTACCTTGGGAGAAAGTGTCGGAGAGAGTGAGGATCCAGACGAGGAGGCTCAGCATGCTGCCCGCCCGCCGCGCGCCGCCCGCGGCTGGGCCCGGACTCGGTGAGCGCGCGGGAGGAGCGGGCCGGGCGGAGGGGAGCGCGGGCCCGCCCCCCGCCGCCCGCCCTGCACACACGCGCGCGCACACGCACACCCTCGCGCGCACAAACTCACTTCCCTGCCCTGCGCCCGCTCTCTCCCTCTTTCCTCTGGTCCCGGCGCGCTCGCTCCTGCCCCGCCCCTTTCTCTCTCTCCCCTCCCCGTCCCCTCCTCCCCCTCTTCCTGCCCCCTCGCCCTCTACGGGGTCTCGTCTCCGGCTGTATCTCTCGGGGTCTCTTTCGGTCTCTGCTCCCTCTCTGCTCCTCCCTCCTCCCTCCTGACGTCTGCTCTCCCTCCGACGGCGCCTCCCTCCCAGCCCTCCCCGCCTCCCCCCCTCCAGCGCGCGCACATGCTCACACCCCTCGCTGGGACTGAGATGCAAAGAGAGAAAGGGATGGAGGGCAAAAGGGGTAAGGAACGTGACCACCGCGGGCGCCGGGGCGCCCCTGCCCGCCCGCGCCCCTTCCCATCTGTATGCACAGTCTGGGCCAGGGCTAGGGGACTGGGCAGGGGACCGGGGGGCGGGGCAGGGGCTGAGGACCAGTCTCCAGCCCAGCGGATGCCTGTGATGGGGGAGGCTGAGCGTGTGTCTGTGTGTTTGGGTGTCTGGGGAAGAGGAGGGGGTGGGCAGGCGGTGGTTTATAGAGTCAAAAAGCAGAAAATCCTTTTTTTTTTTCCCTTGTTAATCCCACACCCAGAATCTAGCCCCTCCATTCCCCAAATTGGGAATTCTCAATTGACAAATGAATGCTGGGGGTGGAGAGGGATACATTCCTCTCGTCCTCCCCACTTACAAAACTCTGGAGAATCTGAGCTGCTTCTGGGACCAGCCTGCAGCCCCTGCCAGAGGGCCCCACCCAGCACACAGTGGGGCCAGGCCAAGCGCTGGAGTTCTTAGCGGGCCAGGAGGAGGCACGGTTCACTCCTTTCTTTGTTCCTCTAGATCGGCTACCCTTCCAGAAGGACAACGTAGCCATGGCCCCCTTTTTGAAGGGCCAAGGAGAGGAGCGCAGCCACGGGATGATCTCCAAGCACGAAGACTTTGATATCCTTTGGTGCTGAGACATCTAGGAACTGGGAAGAGAGGGGATTCCTGGTGAGAAGAAGGAGAGGATTAGGTAGGGGTCCCCTTTTTCTTAGGGTCCCAGCTTGGGCAAGCAGCTCCTCTAAACCCCTAACCAGTGGCATCTGCTCAGTTGCTGGGGATGCCTGGACGTCTGGGTCCTAGGGGATGAGCTAGGAGAAATAACAGGAATTACGCAACTTTACAGTACTGTGTTGGTTTAGAGAGGTCTCCGCTTCTACCCGCGCAGATTCTAGGTTTCCTGGGTCCCTAACACTACCCGCCAAGATTTCTGAATTTGGGCCCCGGAGCGAAGGCGCACGGCTCTCCAGTGTCCTCTGCTGGTGCAAGGCTGCCACAACGCTTCTTTCTTCCGGGGATTCAGAAACCAGGCTGACCCGTCCAGACACATCCATGCACAACTGGAGGACACAGAAACACAGACACAAAAACACAAAAGCTCATATTCAGAAGCAGATTGCGCACGAACCCAGAGAACCTTTCATATGTTCAAAAACACATATGCAAAGGCAAACACAGTTTAAAAATAAAGAGCAATGCCTCACTTAGAGAAATAGGAATGTAATCACAAATTCATTCAGCCAGCCACACACCAATGTGCAGACACATAAGGGCTTTTCATTTCCTCATTCATTAATCATGCATTCCACAGATATTTCTTGAGGCCTGCTTGTGTTGCAGTTACAATTTTAGGCCTTGGAGATACAACAATGAAAAAAAATGGATGAAGTCCATCCCTCATAGCATTTCATTCTGGAGGTGAGGAAGAGGCAGTGGAAAAATATAAACTATACCCAGTTGTAATAAATACTGTGGGAGACACGTGAAGCAGGACAAAATGAATAGGGAGTGGAAAGGAGGGAGGAACTGCTGTTAATAGGCAGTCAAGGGAAGCTGCTCTGCTAACGTAACACAGGAGCAAAGACCTGAAGGAACTGAAGGGTTCAGGTATTCAGGCATCTGAAGACGGTGTAGCAGACTGATAACAGCTGGTGCAAAGGTCCTGAGGTTCAAGTGTTCTCAGAGCATCCGTGAGACAGCCTTTTCTCCTTTTTACTGTGCACGAAGATGCATGGAAGGGAGGCCCATGGTGACAGTGATTGAGGAGAATGTTGAGAGGAAAAAGTCTAGAAGCAAAGGAAGAGAGGACTCTTGGCTTCGTGTTTCTTGCCTACATTCTCGCCTCTGATACTCAGGTTTGATGGCTATTCTCACTGTGAGGAGGGTTAGCAAAGCTTTTACTCCCTCTTATCTCTGATTTCACTTCAAAACCCTAGCAACAGAGGCACCACGTTTCTCCAGCTCCTTAAGAGCCCAAGCAGTCCTCTCACCTCTCTGGCCTGAATCCTTACCTGTTCAGTTCATCACAAACACACTCCTCCAGTGTCCCCTCCACACAAGCCACTCAGTATCCCAGATCCCAGAGTCTAAGCCTAATAGTGCTCCAGCTAATGAGCACCACCTAATGGTGCTCCAGCTAATGGTGCTCAACACCACCTGTGCATTAGAATCTCTTGAGGGGAGTTTAAAAATTACCAGTGCATTGGCCTCAATCCCAAAGATGAGTTGCTCTGGGGGGAAGCCCTGTGCACCACCTTCCCAGATACTTCTAATGGGCAGGCAGGGTTAAGCACCACTGACTTCTAGGCCTTGCCCGCAGCGAGCCTGCACGCTGCAAGGATTACATGCCCTCTTCCCTCCAGCAACCGAGTTACCAATCCTTCATCACCCTCCCCTCCTTCTGGGGAGAACCCATTAAGCCCCCCTAACTTTGCTCCATTCTCTTCTCTCTGGCACTAAAGTTCACAATTCTGTCTAAGTGGGTTAACCAAGTATAGTGGAGCCTAATCACATAACTCTTACCAAACTGGGGGCATCTGGGGCTGAGTCCCCAATATCAGATGGAAGCTATGGAAGACAAAGCCTGTGTCTCTTCCATCAGACTAGACACACCTCCTCGGACAGGGTGTCTGCCTCCCCTATCAAACTTGGGGCTCCTTAGGGACAAAGGCTGTGCATGCTCCCTTAGTCTGGAGCTCCCGGAGGGTGGGGGAGAAGCTGGGTAGCTCCTTTCTCCATCAGACAGACAGCAGAGTCGTTGAGAGCAAAGCACATGGGCATGGAGACCAGCTTGAGGGGATTCTAATCCAGGTCCCACCCCTTACTTTCTGTGTGACTTTGGGGAGTTTATTTACCTAATTTCTCCAACCCTTGATTTCTTCATTTGAAAACAGGAATCATAATAGTGCTAATGATACTTGAGGGGTGGTCGTGAGGATTAAATGGGTCAGTATTTCGACAGCTGTTAGAATAGTGCTGGGCACACAAGGAATAGTAAATGCTAGCTGTGATGATTTGGGGTTTGGGAGCTCCCCGAAGTGGGGACCTTTTGAGTCTCCCTCCTGCTAGATTGGTCTTCACCCCCACGCACAGGGCTCCACCTACACGGAAGCATGCGTGGAGGCAGTGGAAATAATCCCTAAGGAAGCTACTTCACCCAGAAAAAAGGAGGAAGCTGCCAGAGGTTATATATGGAGTTAAGAGAAATATTAATAATTTTCTGAGCACACAAGCAAAAAGATCAAGAGGTCAGGGAGTGAGCAGGAAGGCAATTTATGACCATCAGCAGGAGAAGCCTCCCTGAGAGACGGAAATGAATTCTTTGTCTCATTGAGGGCTAAGAACGGCAGAACAATTCTATAAATTGTCCTCTTTCCCCTTAGAGGGGGGGTGGAGGAGTGTGTTCCAGCTGCTTATCAGAGGAACAAAGGAGAAAGGCCAAGATCCTGATTTTCAGCCTTGAAAATAATCCTGACCCTAAAGGAAACCCTGCGTCCCCAGGGGTGAGGGGCCACCAGCGGTCACCACGTCCCTCCACCTGCTACAGAGACTGTAGCCCAGAGCAGCGAGAGATGCACCCTTCCTTTGGAAGTCCCCCCAGCCTACGGCTTTTCCTCATTCCTTCTCCTTGGTGATCTGACAGCCTGGGTGGCTCTGGAAACCCCTGCCAGATATAGGCCCTGGGCTCTCCTGATGCTGGACCAGTCTGTTTTCTCTTATTCTCCTTTTCCCTAAGAGGCCCAACTTTTGAGATGTACAAGACGAACAGAGACAGGGGACAGCCGGAGTGGCATAGGAGAGACTCAGGCCTGCACTGGGAGGGGAGGAGCACCGAGTGCTTTGGTCCCTCCTCCACGGGGCTTGGGTGTCCGCGGATATCTGAGGTTGCAGTGCTGCTACTGAAGCAGGAGGGCTCAAGGCTAGACCCCAGAAGGGACTGTCTAGTAAGGAGGAGTTACCAAGATATTTAGGAGAGGTTGAAAAAGGTTGAAGCTGCCCATAGGCAGGGGCTTAGGAAGGATGCCCTTTGCAAATAGAGTCTTGGGGGGTGGGGTGTTACCTTGTGCCAGTCTTGCCTGTGAGCACCTGTGACTCAGTCCTTAGCACCCATTTTCAGCCCTTCCCTTCTCAGTGCTTCGTAATCCAGCTCCAACATGGGGAGACAATTTGTGCTAAATGGACCAGTTACTTCTTAGGAAATTTAATGAGGACTTCGTTGCCTGACTCACAGGGATCGGAAAAGTTCGGTTTCAAGGGAGCATCCCAGTTGAGACCAGCTCAGAGGAAGAGAAGAGGGTTAGGGGTCAGAGCCCTGGGCAGGGGCACCAAGGAGGGGACTGGGGACTAGACTTCATTAGGGAAAACTGGAATAAGTAGCGGGAACTCATGACTCAAATGTCAAGCTTCAGAACTAGATGAGGCTTCAGGCAATGTGCTATCCATTCCCCTTGGAAGTGGTGACATGATCTGTTTAAGGTCATAAAGTCATAAAGGCCAGGACCAGAACCCGGGTCTTTTGCCTTTTAGGCCAGGATTCACCCATGTATCTTGCTAATACCAGTCCTTGCACGCTTGCACCCCAGATTAATTCCAAATGCTCTTATCAGCAAGGGCACCCCTTAGCCCAAACAGCTCGGACATTCCTGAGCTCTTCTGCAGGCATCTGAAAATCAGAGAAAATCAGGTGAAGTAAGGAAGGAAGGGGGAGTCTCTCATGTTTCTTTGGCCCTTGGTTTTAGTTCCTTTGGAATCCTATTCCCAGACCCAACCTCCTGACCTTTGGCATTCCCCGGGGCTTCTTCGAAGACCCCAAACCACACATCCATAGATCTACTTTGTATCAGAACTGGGTTAAATGTATGGCTATGTTTGCAACCAACCTAGAGATCAGGTCAAGTTGGCAGCTGGGATTAGAGTCTGAAGCTGTATTAAGGTCACTGAACATCGTAGGAGGTTTAAGGGCCAAGTTGAATAAGGATCACAGGACTGGAAATAGAAGGGTTAGGCTTACTTAACTCTTATTATAGAAGAGGCCCTCACCTTAAAGCAGAACCCTTAACAATGTCACTCCAACCCTTGTAACCCCAGCAGAGGCCTGCTGAGGGTTTATGTCAAGATTAATTAGTTCATTCACCCATTCATTCATCTATTCATCTCACAAAGGTGTATTAAATGCTCGCTGTGCCCAGGCACCAGGCTAAGCACTTGGGACCCAAGGATGAATGAAGCACACAGACCCTGGTGCTGCAGCAGCCAGTCTAGTGCCAGCGACTGAGATCATCACAACTGAGTCGGGAGATGCAAAGACAGACAAATGCCCAGGGATTTTAATAGCACAGAGCAGGGGTTCCTGATCTCAGCCTGGGGGCATTGAGGAAACTTTCCTAGAGTTGAGTCGAGACGTAGGATCTTCCATCTGCAGTGTGGCCCAAGACAGGTCCCCCCTCTGGGCCTCAGTTTCCTGCCATCCCTTAGGCCCCCATGACATTGTAGTACTTGTGCCTCTAATGAGGAGTCAGGGGTCCCTCCCTGGAGATGTCTGCTGTATCGGGGTGCTCCCCTCAGGGCACACGGAGTGTTCTGTAAGTGCTCCCCGTTTGAACACACTCCCTCTGGCTTCCCAGGCTCTGTGCCAGGGAAAAGGCTGAGCATCACCTGCCAGGCAGGGTCTGGCTGCTGGCTTCGGTGGCATTTCCTAAACGGACAGATGGCAAATGTTGATTTAATGGCCCTCCAGTGCCTTGATTCCAGCCTCCAAGACACAGCCAGCAACAAGGCCCTGGCACCGAGTCCTCCTCTCTCACACCAGGGTGGTTTCCCCTCCTCCACCACCCCTCTGGAGCCTCTACCTCCCTTCAGCCCCAGCCCCAAGTCCCCCCCACCCCCACAGGGAGCCTGGGGGTCCGCTCCAGGGGAAAGGAAAGCCAGAGGAAAAAGCTGCCCCAATGAAAAAGACAAAATAGCAGAATCTGTGTGACGGTGCCACCAGGCGGTAGGAGGGTGCTGCTGGGAGTGGGGAGGGGACGGGGTTTTGGTGGCAGGGTGCACTTCAGTTATAAGAGGAGGGAGTCCCAGAGGCCTGCTGCACAGTGGAGTGGCTGTCGCCAACAGGACCGCACTGTATGCCTGAAAATCTGCTAAGAGGGTAGATCTTAGGTTAAGTGCTTTTATCACAAAATAAAATAATAAATAAAGGGGGTGGGAGGAAACTTTTGGAGGTGATGCGTATGTTTCCAGCACAGACAGTGGTGATGGTTTCTCAGATGCGTACTTATCTCCAAACTCAACAAGTTGTATATGTTAAACACGTACGGATTTTTTTGAGTGCGTGCCAATCATACCTCAATAATGTGTTTAAAAAACGAACAAACAGAATGGCATCAGCCTCCATTCTGGGTTTCAAACCAAAGATCGGCCGGTCTGTTCTCTTCCCTCCTCCCGGTTCCTACTCCGAGGGTCTCCAGTTCCTGCTGTTACTTCCAAGGTGGTGGTCCACTCCCCACCGTCCCCACGGCCGCTGCCCTGCCCTCTCCTGCTTTGACCACCAGCAATAGCCTCTTGCATCTGTCGTGTGCCTTCCTCGGTTCTGTCATCTGAGCCCCAGTGACCTTTCTCAAGCTCACATTTGATCCCATCACAGCTCTGTTTACACCTCACTGGTGACCCCACCACCCTTAGAATCAGACACAACATCTTTCCCTGGGTTCCCAGAATCCACCTGCGGGCAGCTGACTTGCCTGCCAGCCTCTCTCCCCACCCCACTCCCCATCCTGTCCCTTACACTCCAGCTCCATTGGCTCTTCTGAGTGTGTGCAACTGCCACACCTCTTTCAACACTGGGGCCTCCACGCGGACCTTTCCCCTGCTTGCGATGTTGTTTTCCATGCTGGGCACTACCCCCAGCATGTCCCCCCACCAGCCCATAAGTCCTGCTCATCCTCAGACCTTATGCAGAATGTCGCTCCTCCGTGGAAGCCTCTCCGATTCCTGCAGATGGGTTAGACGGCCTCCCTACAGCCCTCAAGCACCCTCTGCTTCCATTGGCAGCACTAACCACACTTGCCTTAGGTATTCGGTGTCTGTTTCCCCTGCTGGATCAAAAGCTCTGTACAGACAGAGACTGTGCCAGTATTGTTCACCGCTGTCACCATAGTGAGCTCTTAGGCCTGAAAAACAGAGAGAGATGCCCCCTATTCTGAGTTCTACAACAGGACCCTCTTCCAGAGATCAGAGCCAGAGAGCTGCAATCAGGCTACAGAAGGAACCTCCTCCTAACTAGGGGTCTGCCAAGCTCCGGGTACTCATCCTTCCAAGGCACTGGGAGGGGAGCAGACATGGCAGGAAAGTTTGTCTTCTCTTGTTTAGGGTGAGTGTGTGTGGGGAGATACCTATTACCTCGAGTGTGAAAAAAAGAAGAATCCCAGGGAACAGTGAACAAAGCTATAAATACAGCTGAGCGTCGGGTGACATCACCTGAGCACAGTGCAGTGATTTACGGCCAAGTCACACGGTGTGTTTACAACGGTGTAACCCACTAGTACCTCTCCCTGCCCAACTGCCCCGCCTCATTCTCCTGTTCCGTGGTGGCCACACTGCTTATTCTTCTGATGAAACAGGACGGCTGGGCGAGGCTTCTGCTTTGGAGGCACTGAGGCGGAGCAGGGACCTGGGACAAGCATCATGAGTGATTTTTCCTGCCGATGATGAAAAAACGCTGAGATGTAAATAGTATAATAAGAACAGAAGGGATTCCACCTTAAGGCTAAGATTCTATTTTAAAAACCAGGGAGTTAGGAGGTAAGATTCCTAACATATTTTATAGTAAATAGCCAACAACCGACTGTATCTTAAGGCAGGGCGAGCAGTCCTAAATGGTATATTTCCACTGCTTGATGGTGACCACTATCTTGGAGAACTATCACTAAATTTATTGTATTAAGTTTATCTTACAGAATATCTGACTGTGGATAATGTCATAATGTCTCTCACCAGAGAGAGACATCATGAGACCACATGTCAGGCCTTCACTCCCTCCAGCCCTATGCCCATTCTTGAAATCCTTAGAAGACACAAATTATAAACTTTAAGCATGCCTCCTCTTTGAGGTTGCCCACACCCTCCTTCCTTTGAGTATGTACTTTGCCTTCAGCAAAGACCTCTTGCTGCTCAACTGACTGTATTTTGTCTCTGACTCTTCCAAGCCTCTCGGGAGGTTAATAAGAGACCCCTTTTCCCAGTGGTAAGCATCTTTGTTACTTTACTATTTCATTCAATTTTCTGATCTTTTCTCTCTTGATTCTGCTTCAGACAAGTAGGGAAGGGCTACTGAGAGCTCTGGTTTGGGTTTGCATGTTTCCGTCGCCTAGGGGACCCGGACAGCTCAGCAGCTGTATGATCCTGCTCTTTAAAGCCTGCCCGAAATTCTCCTTTCTTTGCCTTTGGGAAGTTCTCAGAACATCATCTCACTGCATCCAGTGTTCAACAGCTCCCCCCAAACCTGGAGTGGTAGGGGCTCTGTTGCCATGCCATGCAGATTCAAGTGGACACTGGATGCCAGGTGACTCTGGCCTCAGGAGTTGGCAAGGGATTGACCTCCTATGCCAAGCCGGAGTTCAATGAGCTTCTCCCCTCTGCTCTTCTTTGCTCTCTGCTGCCTGCATGGCTGCTGCCAATCACTGCTACTCTCACTTGAATGAATTCCTTTCTTATCTACACTCATCTGACCTGCTCAAGAATTCTTTCTCAACCAGAGTCAAGAGCCCTCCCCTGTCCAGGCTGAGGTTCCATACAGTGCACAGGGAGGGACCTCCCCAGATGCACCTGCCCAACAAAACTACAGGACACTGTAAAGAATGGAGCTGTCTCCCCAGAAACGTGCCTTCAGAACCCTGCCACGTTCACTGTTTCTTGTGAATTATGAACTCTTAAGCCTGGTGGTGAAGACTTGCAAAGCCAACCTGTCTCCTGGCCTTAACTTACCTTTACTGGCTTCCAGCCTTACTCACATACTCCCACCTAGTAGGGTTTCCTCCAACAGTACCCAGGCTTTTCCCCCCCTGTGCCTTTGCTCATGTTTTCCCCTCCATGTGCTGTATTTTTCTACCAATAAATCCCCAGTCAAAACTCCTCTTCCAAGGTGCAACTCAGGTGCGACACTGTCACTGAGGTGCCAGGATGAGGTACTTTTTGGTTCCTTCTCCAAGGCGCCACACACACACACACACACACACAGCCTTCTCTTCACAGCTGGTCCCTCTGTGGCTCGCTCAGGTACTATGGCAATCAAAGTGGGGTCTTAAGAAAAGGCTTGTCCGAAAAGCACTGCTTTGAAAAATGAAGATCCAGCCCCTCTCTGTATTCTGGGGCCCACCCCGCCCCTACGTCATTTGTATGGGAAAGGAAAGCTCCGGGCCAGCCAGAGAAGCTGAGACGAACTGTCCCCCTGGCAGCCCCCACGCCGCACTGGCTCACCTCTCCAGCCTCCCCTCCTCCGTTTCTGGAATCTTGGGTGATTTTTCCACCACCTCTATTTAGAGTCTAAATGGAAAGCAAATCTAAGGTGAACTGAGATTCTCTCTCTCGCAGACAAACTGTCCAATGCTTGCCTCAGGGGAAGTGGGAGCTAGAAACTGCCCCAGGTATTGGTGGTGTGGTTCAGCACATCTGGGACCTGAGCTACTGTTTCCTTCAAGCAGAAGATGGGAAGTGGAGGAAGGCCACACTGGGGTAAGCAAGCCAGAGCAATCAGGGAAATTAGGTGTCCTTCTAATTTGTACTCAGCCAGGTCACCCCCATGTGGCTTAAAATGCTGAGTAAAATCCAAAATACTTACCTAGGAAAGTGGTTTTGTGGAGAAATTTCTAAAAATATTGTTACTAATGTTTAGTGCTTCCACTAGTGCTTGAGTTGAAAAGTGACTTAAAATGATACTGAGATGCTACAGGGCTTTCCCCCACTCCACCTTCCCACATAGGCCACTTACACCCCCAAATCTGGCAGCAGAACCCAGCACATTCACTACCCACACAGCAGAGTGTGAACTGAAGGAAGTTTGGTGTTGTTGGTACAGTCTCTCTTCCTTGACTCTATTCCACAATCCTGAGAGCTCTCCTACTGCTCTAAACTTTCCCGAGTGTGTAAGTTTATGCTAAAATGTGAAGGACTACATATCCTGCCCCTTTCTGCCCCTACTTACTCCCTGCCCCTGGTGTATTTTAAAACCTAGCCAGCACTGGGGCAATGCTTTCACCAAAGGAATAAATTTCTGACAGTGTAATTATAGGTTCCTTTACACTAGATAAGGAGGCATTTTGAGAGTACTACAGAGCCCCTAAATATACCTAATCCAATTGTCTACAACCAGGGGCAGACTTACCATGAAGCTCTCTTGCTCAGAGCCCTTCCCACGCCCTGGGTAGCACACTGCCTGTGTGTTCATGTGGTTCTGCATAGAACATGGCAGAGGAAGATACCGTAACTATAATTAATTAAGTCTGTTGTTCATTTTCATTATGTCTTCCCCTCCATCCTACCCCTCCTCATGTCAGGCGGTAGAGAAGCCATGGCCCCTGAGGCGAGTGGTGAGGGTCTGGCTAAGTGCAAATTGAGTTGAGAGTACATTTAGGTTGGATTAAAGGGTTATGTGATATGCCTTACGATTATTTGCCTGTACAGCTACACTAACTCTCCCAGTGTAGGATTGGCTTCCAGGAATGTTCCTGTGCCCAGCGAGCTGACTTGTGCAGCATCAGAAAGTGGAGACGGAGAACCAGAGGCCATGGTGGTGACAGCGTGTGCTTTAGCACCTGGACACGGAAGCAGCGTCTGAAATATACGGAGCCAGAACTGGCCAGTGGGAAATTCTGCTCATTACCAGATGTGTAACATTGCAAGTGGTAGGAATATGGCTGATGATGTAGTGTATAAGTTACAAATATACCATACAAAAATGTTTACCCTGTATTTTATGTGAAAGTATTAGAGAGAAATGATTCTGATTTTAAGAAGTGAGTTGTACACAAAACTCAGGTTACTCCCAATGAGCTACTACATTTAAGGGAAGAGAGAGATTTCTGATCAGCTCTTGGATTGCTTAATGATCTAATTATGAAGAGGAGAAACTTGTATGATCACACTGACTGGAAAAAGTTTTAAATTTCTTGGGGATTTGATAAAGATAACGTAAAATTCTGAGTAGGCCACTGGTTAATAATGATAAACTAGTTAATAACGACTGGTGTCCTTTATAACAAGTATTTAAGATTAGCTTCAACATAAGAAAACTTGAACAGGTTTGAAATCTTCAATTAAGAAAAAGGTGTACAGGTTGCTCCCTCCCCAAATTTGACATTAATCCTAAAATTATATATGGTATCCCCATTAGCAATTTTAAAGTTTAGAGGCACTTTTAAAAGTTATCAATAATAAAAGGATAAATTTTGATCAACCACTCTAGAGGGAAGGAGGGTCACCCAGCTCTCTATGAAAAGCATTACAAAATCATTATGAAAAATCAAAGTGTACAGATACAAAAAGTAGAAAAAATATTATACACGTGGGTCAGGCAGTTAATTAATAAAACCGATTATGTTATTTTTCTAGCTTAAAAATAAAGTTTCACTTCTGTGTCTACTTTTGCATTCCTAATTTTGTATTCTTTGCCTTGAAGGGAGCCTCCCCTTCCCCAAATAGGATAAGCTGGCGCCTTACAACCGCTTTCAGCTGTGTCCACAGCATTGGTGTTTGACTAAGATGCTGCTGAATAATAATACTAAATAATAACGGCAGCACCTTCCCTTCAGTTTCCTATACCCGTGTTATTCCAGAGGTTTACTCTGAATGATCTCGTTTACCTCTCTCAGTATCTGCTTGTTTCCTGCCTTCTCCACGTGAAGGAACTCAAGTCCCAGAGACGGTAAGTAACCTGCCCAAGGCCGTTCAGCTGGGAAGCTGCAAAGCCTGGATACAACACAGAAGGCTGTTTCCGGTGATCGGAGTCCTGCTTCCCTCCCCAGACTCCACGCTTGCCTGATACTCGGAGGGCTGAGTGACCGGCTGCAAGACAGGCGGCTGGTAAGTGGCGGGAGCAGGGTTAAGTCTGGGGCTGCGGGGTTTCCTTCCCTCCCACACCAGCAAACATGAGGCTGGTGGGCTGGGGGGTGAGGCAGGGAGACTCAGGAGGGGATGCCTGTGACCCTCCAGCATCTCAAGGGGCAGCTGCACCCCCATTCTGTTAACTGGAAAATACCCTGGAGCCACAGAGGCCTGGGAGAGGGCATGCGGGCCCAAATGCTGATGACACGCCTCCGGCCGAGGCCCAGGGAGTCCCTGTGGCCACCCTGGACTGCTGCCCCGTGTCCATTCTGGGAGCTGCCCCTCTGCTCCCTAGGGTGCCAGGGGTCCTGACGTTGGAGACCTTCCTCCTCCCACCCCCCAGCCAGGGGGAGATCTGCCCCACAGAACTGCACCCCAAGCCCGTGGGCACAGCGGGTGTCAGACGGTGGAGGGGGACGGCTCTGCACAGGCCCCACCTCAGAGCCAAGCCTTCTGCTCGGGGAACAGAGCAGGGCAGAGCAGAGCGCTCAGAAGGTGGCCCTGCGGAAGGGCTGGCCCAGGGTAAGTGGTGTTTTAAGAGAAAGGAGAGGCTCTGGCCTTCTGTCTGGCGATCATCCTTCCCTCCACACAGTGCCTACCTCACTCTTTTCCTGTCCCCCTCACCCCTCAAAGCCCAGCCTCTCTCCTCTGCCCACCCTTCCGTGGCAGAGCTGTCCTCCTTGCCCTCCAGGCCCCGTCTGTATGCCTGTATGCTAGGGTTGCCGTAATCATGTTCCACAGACTGGGCGGCTTAAATAGCGTCTCACAGCTCTGGAGGCTGCAAGTCACACAGTGTGTCAGCAGGATGGGTGTCTCCCGAGGCCTTTCTCCTTGGCTTGCAAAGGGCTGTGCTCTCCCTGTGCCTTCACGTGTCTCCCTGTGCATGTCTGCGTCCCAGTTCCCTCTTTCTATAAGGACACCAGTCCTATTGGATGGAGGCCTTCCCTAATGACTTCATTTTAGCTTAAATTACCTCTAAAGACTCTATTTCCATATATGCTTGACTGTATATTCTGAGGTCCTGGGGTTAGGACTTGAACATTTGAATCTGGGGGAATACAATCCAGCCCATCACACTTTCCAGAACAACCTGCCACCAAATCCTGCAAATAACCAGGCTGCCCTAGACTGGATACTGTGACACCTACCCACACACAACCCTACAAACACCGCCTCACACCTGCCTCACCCCTCAGGACCACTCAGAAGTGCCTGGTCACCCAGGCCCAAGTTACCTGGCAGGCGTAACCTGGCTGACCAACAGGGCTATCACCCTCTTGGTCACGGAACCACATCTGGCCTCTGGCTTCTTTCTCTGCGATTTGGGGCTGCCTGTTGTAGGATTACAGCCCTTCAGTTCCTTTGGTCCTTTATGAATCTCATCCCTTCAAAATGTTTTAGTGCCTTTGAGTAGCGTATTTTGAATAGGTTCACCGTTTCAGCAAATTGATATGAAGAGGGATATGTTGAGGGGTGTCCCTCATGAACTTCATTCACCCTGTTCCTCCCTGTGTTCCATCCCTTATGGGGAACTGGATCAATTAGCTTTTGCTCCATACAAATGCACCCATTTATATTCCTGTTTTACATAAAAGGCAGTATATTCATTGTTTCACTCCTTGCCTTTCTGCCCTTAACAAGATATCCGGGAGATTTCCCCCACAGCTCTACAGATGGCTTCCCTTTTTACTCTAACAGCTACCTAGTACTTCATTATGTGGATGTCTGATGATTTATTTAACGAATCCCCTGTGGAAGGACAGTTGGGTGGTTTCCAATGCCTGTGCTCCTGAGAGAAGTGCCTTCACACCTGTGAAAGGCAAAGGCCTGCAGGGAAGGCAGGAAGGTGGGCAGAAAGGACCCAAAGGTGCTGGCAGAGGTGGTCTCTGGCCTGGGGAGTGTTTCTAACTAATGCGGGAGCCGTGGCTGTTCTCTGTGGAGGTTTCTATGTGATGAAGACCCCACGGAAGCTCACACTAGCCACAGTTCTTTGCTGTCACTTGGCTGATTCAAGACCTCTGTGATTAGTGAGGCCCCTGGGAAAGGGGCTACGATTGGAAGTGAGCCTCCACTTCCTAGGCAGCCCCTGTAACAGGGCTCTGGACCCCGTGGCCTGCTCATTGCTTATGCCCATAGCCCACCCCACCCTATTCCCGCTTCCATTCCTGGCATGCCTTTTTCAGTGTGTTCCTCTGATCCTGCCCCCTTCCGTTGCTTACATTTTCACTCAGCAATTAATCTCTGGAGAGACTTCTGTGTGCACTGTGCAGAGATGAAAGGCACTTTCCAGGTCTTCGGGAACAGTCCTGAACAGTTCTCTTCTCTTTTCTCACTCGTTCACGTCCTGGGTGATCCCATGCAGGCTCGTGGCTTTAAATATACCATCTATATGCTAATGCCTCCCAAATTTCTGTCTTCTACTCAGAATATTCTCTCCTGAATTCCAGATTCCATCATCCAAGAATTTACCTGCTACCTCCACTTAGGAGTCTCATACACACCTCAAACCTCACCCGTCCGAAACCAGGCTTCTGAGCTGCCCTCATGCCCTCCACCCTCACCCACCAAGACCCGTGCCTTCTGCATGCTTTTCCGTCTCAGTCAAGGGAAGTGCCTCACCCCTCCAGCTTCGGCCTTAATCCTGAGAGTCATCCCTGACTCTGCTGTTTCTCACAACTGACATCTAATCCATCGATGAATCAGATCCATTCTACCTTCAGAATA